ATATTGCATGTAATAACTTCTATTTTCCATTATATTGTATGTAATAACTTCTATTTTCCATTATATTGTATGTAATAACTTCTATGTTATATTCACTACTATGAAAAACTTCATCAGCTATTCGTTACAACTAAGGTAATTAATTCTACATTAGTTTTAAGTTTTGCTATTTTCATACCCTTTTCCATTGACAAATATGCGTGGAAAGAAATAATAGAGTGTTTTTTTTCCACTATCTAGTTTTTCAGGTCGGCATCTCCACGAACATATACATGTATATAGTTGGTAATAATCACTGGTCCAATCTCAGGCTCACCAACAACTTAGTTAACTTGGCATCTTCAGAAAAAGGAAATACATATCTACAAGGATTAGATGTGTAGCACCTCAATACAGAAAATACCAACGATTTTAATATACAAACCCATGAAAAGGTATAATTACAAAGGTCAACACGTACCCGCAACCTTCCCGAAACTAATTATCATAGAACGTATCGTACAAAACACTAATTAAACCGTACGATGTCTCCATTGTGTATTTATTTCTGAAGTGTTTGAATTAATTACAAGTATTTTTCCAAGGTTATAAATTAAATTGTTACAATCTCGGATACGAAGAGTTTAATGAAGCTGACATCAACCTGTTTGTTAACCAATTCAACTCTGCTATGCATTATTCAAGTGTTAAGAATAGAAAAAAATAGAATAATTACTAACTAAATTCATTTGATAAGATGAACTGCGTGTGTGTGTGTTTTTATGATTAACTAACTGCTTCACTCGGAGGACAAGAACTTCTAACGTGTGTTTTTGTTCTTAAAACAGTTTAATTCTGTTTCTTCACGTTTTACACACAGACTATTTCCGCCTCAGTACCAGCCTCACCTGGGTATGTTACCTTTCAAACCAGGGATGCCCCATTATTCAGCACCTAAACTTGTTTTCCTATTCAAACAACATTAATTACAATAATAAAATGTTATTATTTGAGACTCAAATCATTCCTCAAAATGTTTGCGAGACTTTGCAAGTATTGAGTACTGCTGCGGACGACTCGTCACGTCGACGCCCTTTTCTCTCACGTTATAATACTTAAAACTTGAGTTTGTTTGTTTTTTGTTTTTGAATTTCGCGCAAAGCTACACAAGGGCTATCTGCGCTAGCCGTCCCTAATTTAGCAGTGTAAGACTAGAGGGAAGGCAGCTAGTCATTACCACCCACCGCCAACTCTTGGGCTACTCTTTTAACAACGAATAGTGGGATTGACCGGCACATTATAACGCCCCCACGGCTGAAAGGGCGAGCATGTTTGGTGGGACGGGGATTCGAACCCGCGACCCTCAGAATGCGAGTCGAGCACCCTAACCACCTGGCTATGCCGGGCCTAAAACTTGAGTACTGCTGGGGACGACTCATCGTGTCGAGGCCCTTTTCTCTCGCGTTATAATAGTTAAAACTTGTTATAAGATGTGTTGACTTAGTTTTTTTTTATATCTTTATTAATTTGATAAGAAAAGGTTTCATAATTCATAAATTCCGAATCTTATTTAACCGTTTTGTTTAGAGAGAGATAGAAAGTGAGTGTGTGTATATATATATATATATGATTCGGTTTATTCTGAACCTTAAGATAAGGCCAATACTGTTTTCGTTTTTGATATTATCTACAAAGTTATATAGTACATAATACACTTTTACATTTTTATTTTCAACTTCCTGCATATTTATCAAACGAACATCAAAGCTTAATAATCTAATGGTACAGCCAACTTTTCTACGTTTCAATTTTAAAACAAAAACACCATTACTGGAATGTCTAAGAAATGTACATTTTCTCAAAGTTCAATTTTGCAAACCGATCTGATTAAACGCTTAATAATCTACCAATACTTAATTCGATAAAAGTATTTTTAAAACGTGTACATTATGTTGTTTAAGGAGGTTAATTTAACAGCATTCAAACCAACGGTGTAGGTCTTGAAATTTACAGTCCTGAAACCAAAATCTATCTCTTATAGAAAGTCCTCCCCCCTAAAAAAAGATCCACAAGTCAGGCTTGATTACCTTAACCCTAACTGTTTCCTATTTACTAACTGAAGTTTGTAACGGTTGATCTTAACGTACTCACATTAACAGATAAAACAAATACCTTTGTACAAAACGTTATAACTGTAACCTCAAAACCTCTTGAATTAACGTCGAGACAAAGCGGAAGAGACGGTAGTTAGTATTTTGTCCACACTTCGATTGCTGTGATACGTTTAAGGGTAAGTCAGGTATTTCGTTATACTCTGGCAGATGTAAAATGCTAGAGCGACAACACTGTATGGTGTATTCAAGATGCAAGCAGTAAATTATTCGCCTGTCTTACCTCTTTTGTCCCTTAACTGTTGTATTCTAACACTAAAGCATTGTATATTTCATATGTATACCCCCACCATGTGTCCCTTCCCAAGCCTTTAGTCCACTTCCTATACACATATTTAAACTATAGCTGATATTAAACTAAAACATACTAACAGCAACACTTGACGAGCACCATGTATGGAAGAATGGGCTATTTTTGTACACCCCTGTGTCTAAATTAAAGTTCTTCCAGTATTATTCTTGATATTTTGTAAAGTAAGCACAAGCCGGCTGGACTTTCCACACACACTAACTCCATTTGTAGCTTTTACTGGCGATCTTTGTTCAAGACTTACAAGATCACGTGACTAGCCGATTGAAAACAGCACCGCACCGGTGCAAGGGATTTCGAGTCAAATTAGAGCAATATTTCAAAACATTTTGATACAGTGTTGTCCATACATGCTGATGCTTGGAGAAATAATAGAGCTTCACAATGCTTTCCTTTCCAACAAGTCAATTTGCTAAAATAAAAATCTGTCGTTCTTCTACGAAGCCACAGATTCGAATCTCAGTGAGTCTCATTTTAATATGTTATCAGATACATTGCAAAGTGAACTTCTAAAGATTTTTTAAGTTACTTAATTAAATGTTATTTGTACTTAACGTGTTTATTTTTGACAAAAGACGACTCCTCAATAAACGTTCATGTTTCTACCTGAATGGTTTAATTGATACATATTACGCCTTATTTAACAAATGTTTTAACCTTGATATAATAATTGTTTCGTTGGATTTCACGAAAAGCTACTTGGGAGCTAGCTGCACTATACTTGTGATATATTTAATTATATTATCTTTGATAAGATGTTTCATTTAATACGTATATGCACAGTAGCCATTTATAAAAATGATAACAATGCTACAACATAATGTCGGGTTCGATAACCTTCACCGTGATAACACTGAACTCGAGGTGGCGCCGACCCCACTAAATAACGGAAGATGTATTATTTGACTGAAACCTATGACATCAAGGAACATCTAATGCCATTGGTTCACAATTATTGGTAATGTATACAATGCCCAAGTTTATACCAATGATGCTCAATCATATCGAGACCCAGTGATTATGCTGACCAAGAAGGATGAACCTCGTGCTTTTAAAACAAACCCTGAACAAAACAATAGCGTGGTGGATTATTCTATTATTGTCCTGGAGAAAGTAGAACAGAGAGAAAGGAATTCGACGTTGTGAGGTGAAAACAATCGGCAGTAATGATCAGATTCGCTGATGTAATTTGTTCTTCTGGGTGAATCAGATAACTTAAACCTCTGCCACAAGCTTCCCCACACCATTGCACAACTCCAGCTATTGTTGCAACAAGGCAAGGATTGTTAAAAGTTTTGTTGTTGTTTTTCCCAGCACCACTTAAACAGAGAGGACTGTTACATCTTACAATACTATTCAATCTCGTTTTCCCTTGCTCCGACATCTACAGTTGGCGGCCAGTTTTTATAGAATAATTCTCTTTTAGTTCCCACTCTTCATAGACAGGTCTATAGTAATGACACTCCTTACAACGAAAATCATGCTCCTATGAAGTTCGAAAGAACCGTGCTTTTACATCTTACGGATTAAACATAATTTTATTACAACTCTGGATTTGTAAGATTCTAGCAATCGCCTGGCATGTCACGTGACAAGTTAATTTTACATAAGTAAATTGCTGAAGGATTCTACAACACACATACACACATATATATGCTAACAAACCTTCATTAAAATAGAAATCTAGAAATCTTTGAATGTATAGTGTTACAAATATATTAACAATATTTATATTACTGAATACGTAATAAATATGCTATGGCTAAATAACGTGTTAAATAGAAATATATTATTCGAAGTGGAAATTCGCCTATAAATAATGCAATCAAGTATAATCTTATCTAGAAGCTTCAAAAACACTATATACTTTTATTTCAATTCGCATGCTTGCTTTTTCACCATCCCTCCCTCCCCCGTACTTCAGCGATAAGTCTAGGGGTTATAACACTAAAAACCTGTTTTTCATATCCATAGTTGGCACAGCACAGATAGCCCGTTGAGTAGATTTGTGCTAACAACGAACAGTTTTTTTGCCATATCAACAATATCATATGCATTACTTTTATACATGCAAACTATTGTTGACAGTTCATTACAGAACAGTTATAGTTCAAGCGATATAACCAAACATTTCCCGTGACATTTCAGAGACAATAATGTTCGTGATCATCTTTCATGTTTTACATTTTATTATTCCACGTATACACCTATTTTCTTTGGGATATAAACCTTAAGACACTTTTTCCTCAGTTTTCCAACACCTGGCAAACTTATTTCTAGTTTTTCAGGTTCGCCAAAACTAGGACTGGTCAATCCGTTAAGAACAAGGCTAAAAAATCACGCTGTCTTCTACAAGATGATCTAAACAACCAGATACGTTAAGCAGTGAATCATATCGATCGCTTAGCAAGTTACAGTTTTTTCTTGTTTATAACGCGCTATTTATTTCGCTGCCTTTTTTTTATAATAAGTAATTCTACTCACACATTTGTTTTTAAAGTAGCCAAACTAGCCAATAAACATCAATAAAATGTAACTTTTACAAATCTTAGATTTTTCACAATTAACTTGAACAGTTTCTTCTCGTTGGAACAGCAGCCATGATCAATATTAAACAAGTTATCTAACAGTTTGAGAAATCAAGTTGAAAAAACTATCCGCAGCACCATCTAGTGGCTAGTTGAAATATTACAACAAGGTTTATTCTAGAGCTCATGCGAATGGAAGATTTGAGTATTAAATAAAAATTCCATTAATGCTAATTACAATTGAATAATCTTTTATTGCCATTAAAGTTAGAGGAAAAATATGGGTGTTTTTATTTTACCTCCGTATAAATCGTTCATTTTAAGTTGTTGGCACAGCTAATATGGTATTTTTATCCACGTTACGAGGTAAAGCCCCCCCCCCCCAGTGGCTTAGTGATAAGTCTGCAGGCTTAAGACACTAAAAATCAGGTTTCGATACACGTGGTGGGCAGAACACAGATTGCCCACCAACAACCAAGCCAGACAAGCTAAAAACTGCTTTAGTATATGAACAACAATTTTTATAAGATATATTTTCATTAAAAAAAATAATCAGAATTAAAGAGAGGAAAAACCAGTGATTAGATAAATTTTAATTACTAGATTTTAATGCAATACTTGGATTACGGGATATAAAATCCTTTAAAGTAAAGGTATTCAATCACAATCATTTAATTACAATGTATTTTTTTTTATAAGTTATTTTTCAAATATAAATTATTCTGATAAATTACATAATAAGATGATTACACCTATTCAAACCTGTGGTAATTATTCAATGATATTGATTTTTTTTCCGTTTTATTTTCTAATTTTTACATATAACATAGTTTTCTCATGTCCACAAGTTGTCAGTACAGCATTTTAATATACGCAAATGCAAACAAACGAAGACAGCTGTAACTACTGATTGTTTATACGTTGGACTCGCAAGCAGATGAATATTTATACCGTGTAGTGTATCCTTCATAGTGGTATAATACACGACACAGATGAATATTTATACCGTGTAGTGTATCCTTCATAGTGGTATAATAGACGACAACAGATGAATATTTATAGCGTGTAGTGTATCCTTCATAGTAATATAATAGACGACAACAGATGAATATTTATACCATGTAGCGTATCCTTCATAGTAATATAATAGACGACACAGATGAATATTTATACCGTGTAGTGTATCCTTCATAGTAATATAATAGACGACAACAGATGAATATTTATAACGTGTAATGTATCCTTCATAGTAATATAATAGACAACATATGAATATTATAACGTGTAGTGTATCCTTCATAGTAATATAACAGACGACAACAGATGAATATTTATAACGTGTAGTGTATCCTTCATAGTGGTTTAATAGCCGACAACAGATGAATATTTATACCGTGTAGTGTATCCTTCATAGTATTATAACAGACGACACAGATGAATATTTATAACGTGTAGTGTATCCTTCATAGTGGTTTAATAGACGACAACAGATGAATATTTGTACCGTGTAGTGTATCCTTCATAGTATTATAACAGACGACAACAGATGAATATTTATAACGTGTAGTGTATCCTTCATAGTATTATAACAGACGACAACAGATGAATATTTATAACGTGTAGTGTATCCTTCATAGTATTATAACAGACGACACAGATGAATATTTATAACGTGTAGTGTATCCTTCATAGTGGTATAATAGCCGACAACAGATGAATATTTATAACGTGTAGTGTATTCTTCATAGTATTCTTATCTGTATTTCCTTAGTGCAAGGCTACTCAACAGGCTATGTCCATTATAGGGGAGGGGGGGGGATAAAATCCTGGATTTTTACGTTATAAGTCCATAATCTTACCTCTTACCCACCGAGACAGTATAATATTTCCCTTATCGGGGTCTGGGAGGGTCAGGTTTGATGCGACTCATTGACTCGCAGATTGTGAGTCGAGCGCCCCCTAACCGCCAGACCCAGTACAGTTTGAGAAAAAAAAAAGTTTTCATATAAGAAATAAATGAATTGTGAATTGACTTCATGAATTTATGCATTGAATGTAAAACTTCCAATAATAAAAGTTTTATTCCACAATTCATTATCAAACTTCTATGCTCCCTCTATATTTCCTAAGTAATTAATTGTAATATAATGTACTTATTCTATATCTGTATATATAAATCCAAATGCTATTTTTTTTAGAGGGAACCCAAAATAAATTCTTATTCACGCACATAGTTAATATATTTGACATAAAAAGACAATATACAAGATAAATCCGTGTCTCAACATGTACTGATAATGTAGATTAAGATTTAAGGTATAATAATTTAATCCGCGAAGAGGTTAAAATCTCTAGCTGTTTTAACAAGTGGCACAAAGCTCGCGGAAACAATAACTGAATTAAAAAACACACTTATTATCATTAGTGTTCTTTACAATGACTAAACGTAAAATAAAAGATAACTCGTTTTCAGCTTTGTGCTAGAAACTAGCACACCGAATGAAACTTATTAAAGCACGAGAAAGCGCCGTAATGAAACAGTATAACATATATTCGTTACTAATACGAATACTTTGTTGTTTCATAACCTGATTTACAAGATTAAAAATATATCAACGGCTATAATAAAGCGGATAACCCAGAAGTGGGTAAAAGAAATTGCACAAATAAAATCCTCTCTTTCAACCGTGTTGGAAGTGTAAGGAATTTAACCAAAAGAAGTTTTTTTATAAACTACCTTAGGGAGACTTCAGGTTCAGGTTACGAGTTTGTCTTTCCTTTTATATTTTTATACGTTCACGCGTTATTGTCTTACAAAGATGAATTTAAACACATACAGTTTGCTTTAAGAGGCAAAACACACACAAACAAACCTGAACTATTTTTTTATTCATTATAAGTATTGCAACTGTAATTTATCGTGTAATAATCTGACAATTTTACTTTTTTATTTTAATTAATTTACATTTTCATTGTAATAATCAAGACAAAGATTTGACGACACTGCTAAGTTTACAAATATTAAAAATACCTGACACTAAAATATACAAAACCTGCTCTTTTTTGGACCACGTATACACTTATACGTATTGATGAACTGTGTATTAAATCCGAAAGCTCAGGATCGTAAAATAGACTATTGAGATATAAAATATAAATATGACACCATTGAGCAATAAACTTTGTTTAAAAATATACATAAAACAACGTTTAAATTACGCAATAGATTTTTTAAAATTATAAATGACTACATGTTTCAGTAGCTTCCGTTACCATCATCAAGATTGAATATTGTTATGTGTGTGACTTAGTACGAGGATAGATCTATTGAATATTGTTATGTGTGTGACTTAGTACGAGGATAGATCTATTGAATATTGTTATGTGTGACAGGATGATGGTAACGGAAGCTATCGAAACATGTAGTCATTTTTAATTTAAAAAGTATTGTATAATGTAAACGTTG